TACACTATGCAGGTAATATTTTTACTCCCTCTCTCTTTCATATTCCCATACTCCCCCCTTGACCTTGTTAGGTCCACCTTACGTAATCCATGCCTTCACAATGGGAGTTCCATAAGGGCGGCACAAATAGGGTCCCTGTGTGATGAGCTCCAGGCCTCTCTGTGATGAACTGTGGTCATCCGTGAGATTGTAAGCAGCCTCCCCTGCCCCACTCATGCAATGGGACTTCTCCCCACCCTGTACTCACCCTACTTGTTCCCCTTCCCCCAAGCAAATTTAGGAAGTTCAGTGGGAGGAGAGGAGGAAACACCCCATTGCACAAGCAGACCTCATTCTACACATGCAGCAGCTTCGCTAAATCTTGCCCAGTATCTAGGCCCCAAACTGTTCAGGGCTTTTTTAGGTTAATCTTATTACTTTGAATTGAGCCCAGTTAATAGATAGGTAGCCAGTACAGACGCTGCAAAGCTGGCCTCGTATAACATCAGCTAGAAATACTCTTGCAGCTGCATTCTCACTAGTCAGACCTTCAAGGGCAGTCTTACTTAGAGTGCCTAAGAATTAAGAGTAGATGGTTGGCTCTTTCTTTCTTTCTTTCTTTCTTTCTTTCTTTCTTTCTTTCTCCCTCTCATACACTGCTTTTCAGGAAATTCTAGTTTGTCATTGTTGGAGACAGGATGAAGAACTATATCAGCCTTCTTCAAGCTGGTGCCCTGCTGATGTTGTAGGACTACAACCCCCATCTTCCCTGGCCATTGGCCGAGCTGTTGGATGTTGTAGTCTAGAGCAGTGTTCCCCAACCTTGGGTCTCCAGCTGTTTTCGGACTGCAATTCCCATCATCCCTGACCACTGGTCTTGCTAGCGAGGGATGATGGGAGTTGTAGTCCAAAAACAGCTGGAGACCCAAGGTTGGGGAACACTGGTCTAGAGCACCTGTAGTCAAACTTCGGCTGAAGGGCCACTGGTTATATAGGGGTGGCAGAAATGTGGTTTCGCATGATTTCAGCAAGGCTGGAAAAATCTCTCCAGTTGTATGGACCCTGCAGGAGTTTTGAACAACTAATCTCGCAGTTCCTTGAAGAGCCAAAACATATTACAGCATAGTCCATGATAGCTTATGCCACAATAGAGTGTTTAAGGTGCTATGGGACTCTTTATTGTGTTGGCTCTTGCAGAGTACCACAGCTCTAATTTTGCAACTCTCATTTTCTTCTTCTTTAAGCTGCTTGTGGCTGCCTTCAAGTAGCTCAGCTCCTGTGTGAACACAAGTGTCCAATTAATGTCAAAGATGTGGTACGTAATCATTATCTCATGGATAACTTAGTGGGTTAAAAACAAACAAACCTTAAAAGCTATGCAGTGTACTTCAGTTTCTGAAACCTCCTTTTTAAATCTTCTAAGCAGGGCAGATTCCCTCTTGTCTGCAACAAATGAGTTTCTTCTTCGTTCACTGTATTTCTTCCAGTTAGCACCCGTGACGTCTGAGTGGGAGGCCCGATCAGCACATTTACATGAGCCAGGGCACTTTGCTCGGTTGCAACCCCCTCCACATGTCCCCACGTATATCATTTCCTATTCAGACATGACAGTGCTAACCAGAAACATGCAGTGAATAAGTAGCAAATTTATCTCCCATATAAGGTATGAACGAGCCTTTTATATTGCTCTCTGATTCTGTACCAGCACTTGAAGTATGGCACGTGTTCATGCCTAATGTTGAGCTTTTTATTACACTGTAGGAAAGGCTTGGAATCCTTGAATCCATAGAGTTAGAAGGGACCCCAAGGGTAATCTAGTTCAACCCCTGCAATACAGGAATCTCAGCTAAAGCAACCATGACAGATGGCCATCCAACCTCTGCTTAAAAACCTCCAAGGAAGGAGAGTCCACAGCTTCCCGAAGAAGACCATTCCATTGTCAAACAACTCTTACTGCCAGAAAGTTCTTCCCGATGTTTTGTTGGATCTCCTTCCTTGTAGCTTGAAGCCATTGGTTTGAGCCCTACCCTCTGGAGCAGGAGAAAACAAGCTTGCTCTGTCTTCTATGTGACAGTCTTCCTGTGAGGAAAGCGAGTAACCTTGAGCTTGAGTGGAAACAGCTCAGTAGGAAGGGAGCCATATGTAGCTGGCTTCTCCCATTTCCTCCACGCACATCCCATTATGCACAAAGATTAACGCTTACCAAAGTCTCATCTTAGTTTTCTTTGGTATTTTGGTTCCTGGCCATCCCTTATTCAGTGACATTAGAGTTTTGGTTTGTTAAGTGCTTAGAATCATATACAGTGGTACCTCGGTTTAAGAACAGTTTGGTTTAAGAACGATTCGGTTTACAAACTCCACAAAACTGGAAATAGTGTTCCGGTTTGAGAACTTTACCTTGGTCTATTATAATATTTATTGAATTTCATTTTAAAAACCAAGCAATTAACATTTTCACTTGTCATCACATATATTTTGACTCTCTCGAGTCTTTGACACCCCCCTTCCCCCAATTGACTTCCTTACATCCTTACATAATTTCTTTAGCATTTCAAATTCCCCCTATTTACCTACTTTTATTCTTAAATACTCTTTTATAATTGTAAACAGGTTTCTACTTCTACTTAGACCGAGAACTTTACCTCGGTCTAAGAACGGAATCTGTACGGTGGAAGGGCACCGGCGGCAGGGAAAGGGCACCTCGGTTTAAGAACGGTTTTGGTTTAAGAACGGACTTCCGGAACAGATTAAATTCATAAACCGAGGTACCACTGTACTCTGATCCTCCCATGAGTAAAGGGAGCTCAGAACTCAGCAAAGGTAATGCAGTGGGGTTTTACGTGCATTGCTGCATGGCTAGCTGTTGTCTATTGTCCCTTAGACAGCAAGATTTTGAGCACCTGTTAAAGGAGGTTGCACACCTGTTTTCACATAAGAGTTACATTCTCTGAAGTTAATCTTTTTTAAATCTAATGAATAACTGATAGCGTTTAATCTCTTTTTTATTTTTTTAAAAAACTAGGATGGGAATATACCTTTGTTACTGGCTGTACAAAATGGCCACACTGAAGTAACCAAATACCTTCTGGAGCATGGCGCAGACATCAATTCCAGAGACAAAAATGGAAGGTACAAATAAACGTACTTAGTACTCACAAACCTTTTCAACGTTAATTGAGTCTAAGGATCTCCTAATCCGAGATCAGATTTTAGATTCTTCACCGCTAAATATCTTACGTTGTGGTTTAGGTCCAATTAAGCTGTCACTGAACTTCTTGCTTATATTTATTAGCTTGAAAGCTAACAAAAAGCCATGCAAGAGATGACATGTTTTTCTGGTTCTTCTAAAGTCGCCGATTTCTCCGTGACTTTCAGAGAAGCTGTTTTGCAGCGTTTGACATCTTGAGGCACAGCCTAATAAAGTTGTCAAAGCTGTATCCTTTTTGATGTTTTCCCTTCTTGCAAGCACTCATTATGCCTCTTCCCCATCCAGAGGCAGGTTACAGTGAGATACAAAATTCTAGACTGGGTTGACACAGGCTGCTGCTGCAAAAATAAAAGCTCTTCTGGCAAAATTATGGTCAAGCAGAATTCTGCGTGGCTATATGGTCAACAGAGGATCTTGTCCGCCAGATACATCTGTCCTACAAATTCATTTTGAGTAAGGCTATCAGTAGCGGCTGGCTATGTCATATCTCTACTGTCGGAGAAAGTATGCTTCTGAATACCAGTTGCTGGGAGCCAAAACTGGGCAGGTCCTGCTTGCAGGCTTCCCTTAGGCGTCCGTTTTCTGGATGCTGGACTAGATGGGACTTGACCTCATCCAGCCCTTTGCAGCATGCATAAATGGCTCAACCTCTTAGGGAAAGCTTTACTGGTTCACTCTCAGGTGCCTGCCCTCTCTTGCAGTGATCTCTTACTGTAGATCAAGTTATAGATATGCTCTAAATTCAAGTCAGGACAAATTTTGTTGATGACACGATGACCATAACTTTCTGCAGGAGTAGCAAAGTGTCATCTTATCAGAGGAATGCCTGTCAGCTTTTTCCACTTCCTGGACTCAGCTGACTGCCCAATCTTCTTCTTCTGCTGGAACCTGTAGGCACTCGTCTCCTGTAGGATAATAAATGAGCCACAAACTCACAACCTTCAGGGGGTGTTTTTTATTTTTTATTTTTTTGAGGGGAAAATAAATCCCCCCCCCCAAAAAAAATTATTAGTTTTCTCTTATAACCCATAGACAAAAACACAAAAGAAAAACATTACATTCAACACAACATAAAAACTTAACAATAAAAACACACAAAATAAAAGAATTTTTTCTTCTTATTCCCTGGTGTATTTACATTGCTAAAAGACTTCCTTGACACCCTCCAATCTGGATTTCATCCTATTACATATTTAGCAGTTCCCAATTTCATATTTATAACATCAGTATCTTCAGGGGGTGTTACTGCTTTGCTAATCTCATGCCTGTGGCTCCTCCTTATATTCTCTGTTTGCCAACTTGCTCCAGAACGGCTCTGATGCTGGTGTGCGAAGCAGGAAACCTCAGCATTGCAGAAGTCCTCGTCCGAAAAGGTGCAGACATAAACCTGGTGGATGCGCTTGGACACAATGCCCTGCATTATGCGGCAGTCTCTGAAAATACAGGGATTCAGAATCTCCTTCAGTTGAAAATTGTTCAAGACGCTGGTATGTCTACACTTCTTAAATTATGTGGTAGGATTCCCTATGATAAGGATGGGGAACCTGTGCCCACCCCCCGATGACATTGGACTATGTGATCCCTGATTATAGGCCATGCTGGCTGGGGATGATGGGAGTTGGAGTCCATCAACATCTTTGGGGGCAGGCACATATTCCCCACCCCTGCTATAGGGGTTACCTGGGGAGGCATGAGGTTCTTACTCAAACTTTCTGGACTGTCTGTGCCAGAAGTCAGGATGCTGACTCATAGAACTGTAGAGTTGGAAGGGACCACAAGAGTCATTAATCCAACCCCCTGCAATGCAGGAATCTTTTGCCCACCATGGGCTCAAACCCACGAGATTAAGAGTCTCGTGCTTTACCAGCTGAGCTACTCTATCCATTCTCCTAGTCTCTGTTTTACCACCTTTGGTAGAGCTGCTTTGATCACTGAGCTTGGCACACAGCCTGGTCTTTGGACTGTCAGAGGAATGTGCTATCTTGGGTCTGTCCAAAGTGGGTTGCTTGGTTGAAAGTGCCCTCGTGTCTCTCTGTGCAGAAAAAAGATTATTACATTGCGGAAAGAAGGCTAGGCTTCAAAGATGCATTGGCGTCGGCTGATTAAAGGTAAAGGGAACCCTGAACGTTAGGTCCAGTCGCGGACAACTCTGGGGTTGCGGCGCTCATCTTGCTTTATTGGCCGAGGGAGCCGGCGTACAGCTTCCGGGTCATGTGGCCAGCATGACTAAGCCGCTTCTGGCGAACCAGAGCAGCGCACGGAAATGCCGTTTACCTTCCCACCAGAGCGGTACCTATTTATCTACTTGCACTTTGGCGTGCTTTCAAACTGCAAGGTTGGCAGGAGCAGGGACCGAGCAATGGGAGCTCACCCCGTCGCAGGAAAGAAGGCTAGGCTTCAAAGATGCATTGGCTTCAGCTGATTAGTCCTTAGTAAATGCCTGGTTCCCAGCCTATGAGCTCAAGTATTCTTATTTGCATCTGAAACCATATGAAGAAAGGGGCCTGCTTCCTAAACAGCTGTGAGTTTAGGATCTGAATGGCAATTTCTTAAGCAGAAAGAAGATATCTCAGGTTTTCGATTAAAAGGCAATGTTTTGTTTTTTCATCTACAGATGTCAAGTCACCAACAAAGCCAAAGCAGGTAAAAAGGAAAAAAGAATCAGAAATGCTTTATTACCATAATAACTATTAGCCTCAAGCTCTGAAAAAAGAAGTAAAGGCTTAGAAAGTAATAATGGAAGTGATTTGGTTTGTTAAGTGATTCCAGAAGCATATGCAGTTTTAGTAAACTCATAGATAGTTCCCTTTCATTGATATCTGTATGGTATTGGTGAGATGGCTGTCTCCTCTCATCTCCAACCCAAATATCCTTTGTAAGGACAGGGCAAAACTCGCTCTGTTATGACATGTTGTGATGGGAATCTCCAATGCTTTTCTGTGCACCATTTTCCTGAATATCCCCCTCCAATCCAAAGTTGCTTTGCCCAGAAGGGTAAATAAGCAGACATGCATAAGGTACCTGTATGTTTTCCACCATGGAGCAATTTTGTTTGGGGGGGGGGGAATGGCACAGTGAAGCATTACAGCCTCCTCCCTCCAGCACCATGGGCTGTGTGCCCACCAGCCACTCTATGGCTGCTATTAACACACAGTCTTGCGTCAGAGCAGCAGGTCCAATGGTAGACTAGGGTCTAATGGTAAACGTGGGAAACTGACTCGCTTTCAAAAGAAACAGGCTCACACTGGTTTCATTTGGACATAATGTTAAACTGTGGTTTGGCATTACATGAACAATCCTTGAGCTTATGAGCAATTCCTCTCCCTTCTTCTGACACAGCCATGGGGAGCAGTTCAAAAGCCTTTGATTCCAATTTTTTAAAATTAACCTCAATTACTGGTTACATCTGAAATAGGACAATCTGTTGTTAACTTTAATTATGGCGTAGGGAAACAAGTCAACTTCAGCCCATCATTTGCACAGGGCTAGCTGATTTCCCCAAAACAGGGATAAGGAACCCATAGCTCTCCAGATGGCTTACAACTCCCACCATCCCTGATCTATGGCCATGCTGGCTGTGGCTGGTGGGAGTTGGAGTCCAGCAACTCTAGCCTTACCCTAACTCTTCTGTAAGCCATATTTAAGATTAACCATAGCTTCTGGTTTGGCTCTAATGAGTCACTGTGGCTAACTGAAATTGGAAGTAAAAGTTTCTGATTTCATGACTGTGCCAGAGGGAATCCCACGAACCCCAAACCAGCACATGTAATGCCAAACCATAGTTTACTGTTTTATCCAAACAAGCTCAGTGCGGCCTCCTGATGCCCTGAAATAGCTGACCGAGTCTTACTAGTTTTAAGGAATTGCTTGGCAAGAGTAAGCTTGAAGAAAATGGCAGCGTAATGGCAGAGTTGCTTCAGTGGTCATGTACAGCTTCCATAATAAGGGAGGGGAAAGGGGATGTTCATCTGAACAGCCAGTTGGACCCAAGTGTGAATTCCCCTTTTATGGATCTCAGCAGTTACAGATGATTTGGTTGATGATCTGGGTGGCTTGCAGGCGAATCAAGAAACAGAGAAGGAAAGTGGGTGGTGCAGATGATTTTGACATTCACAGGGTGTTTACTTGTTGCAAAAAAATTAGTTTGGGGGCAGGTCTAAAAGGCCCCTAAACCAGGGACAGCGACTCCCATCATCCCTGACCTTTGGGCCATGCCTCCTAGGGCTGATGGGAGTTGTAGTCCCACATTTGGAGGGTGACAGATTCCTCGCCACTGCTCTGAGCAATTTATGAACACGAGTGACCCTGGAATAGAAGTAAACAAAAAGGAAAAGGAAAAATCTCTCTCCCTGGGGGAAAAGAAAGGCATTTAGGAGAAATGTTAGCAAATTGCTTGAGGGCTGTGAAGAGCAGTGCATTTTGAGATCACTGCTCCATGGGAAAGGGTTCGCTTTATTCACTCCATCTAATGTAATGAAGCATGTTGCAAAATGGGGCATGGTGAGCTCAGGGTTGCGCATGTGCAATATCCCTGCATATAGAGGAAGTACCTTTGAATGAGTTGAGGCATGAATGTGCTTTTTTTTAAAAAAAGAAATAATCTCTTGTACCTTAAAAGGAAAAGGGAAAAAAAAAGAAGAACTTTTTTTTAACGCAGACCTTACTAACCAAACTAACAGACCTCCCTTTTCTGGCCTGTGACACTTCCAGCATGACCAAGTCTGTAGATTAAGTTCTGAAAGAAGTGGAACTCCAAAAAAACGCAAAGCCCCACCACCACCTCCTGTCAGTCCTATCCAGGTAAAAGAGCTTAAGTCCAACTTGAACACATTTGCAATGTCTAGACGGGGATGGGCGGGTGAGGAATGTCCTGTCGGGAATAGAGCTGGTTAAATTTGCTTTGTGCAAATCCTTTTTTAAAAATGCGCGTCTCATGTATCATGGGCGAATTCTCATAAGGATAGAAATAGGACGGTCTGTTGTTTGAAAACCCATCTTGGTTACGCTTTGCAGGAGGGCCGTTGGGAATATGACCAGATCCTAAGTTTAGAGCAGTGGGGCTTATAAAGGTGCTACATGCATTAAACTCTGTGACAGTCTTGCTTTTTAACAATCGGCTTTAAGATTCCCCCTGGACGGATGCAAACCAGCTTTGCACATGAGGAGCACGTAGCGTCTTAACAAGAAGTTTAATATTAAACCGAGCCGTTGCTTGGGCGATTGTCTGACTGCATGGCTGCTGCTGGCTAAAGACAACTTCCGAGTTGTCTTGCTTGTATTGAACTAACAGAGAGCGATGACTTCTGCTAGCAAGAGGCAGTTTGTGTCTCTGAAATGCATTCATCTTTTGCAGCTTAGCGACCTGTCCTCTCCACATTCAACAACTTCAACCCCAGTGTCTGGGAAAGGCCAGCCTTCATTTGCTGAGCACGGATCCAAGGTATGCTCCATTTTTCAACTCTTGCTTCTGGCTAAATGTAAACCCTGTGTGTTTGTAGTGAGTTGCTTAAGGTGACAAAAAGATTTCATCACCCCAAGGAAGGAGAGCAAAGCTTCACAACTGTGACCTAAAGCTCTCCAAAGGGAAGTGAAGCTGGAAATCAGTAAAACCCAGGGGGTTGCGATGTGAAATGTATTGTTGGGAGTTGCGTCTTGCTTTTTTGATGTCTTTGGCATCTTTCCGCAGGGCCTGTAAGACGGAGTTGTTCCGCCAGGCCTTTGGTCAGGGCTCAGCCTGACGCCCCTTCTCTTTTTGTATAAGAACTAGTATGAAAGAGGCCTCCCAGCATTCTCAGAGGCCCATATAAGAACAGTGTAAACAATTGGGCCTCATGAACATTTACTGTTCCCAACCCTAATCCTGCGGAAAGCCATCTAATTAGATTTTAATTTGATCCTGACTTGTTTTTAGGAGGTAATTTAATTATTGTTTGATTTTATACCAATGTTATATATTTGATGTTAGCCACCCTGAGCCCAGTCTCGCCGGGGAGGGTGGGATACAAATAAAAGTTGTTTTTTAAAATTATTATTATTATTATTATTATTATTAATTATTATTATAATATAGCAGCTTTGGGGAGGCAGTCAAGATTAGGGCTGCGGCACATCAGCAAGGGGAGGCTTCCCTCTTTCCCCCCATTCTGTGGTCCTGACAAAAATAAAAGAATAATCCTCTCCCCTAAAAGTACTGTTGTTTAATAAAAGACAATTGTGTTGCTCCCAAGTGACCCGTTTAGCATCCTGTGTTAGCCCGCCAGTGGTTTTCTTGAAACCAAAGAACATACCAATTGTTTAAGCAATAGACGTGCCTTTTGTCAGCTAGGGACAAAGAGTACACTTTACATCCATTTCTGGTTTGGGATTAACCTGGCCACTGTAGTCCAAACATTGGTAACCTCCAGACTGCACTACTGCAATGCGTTCTATGTGGGGCTGCCCTTGGGCCTGGTCTGGAAACTCCAGCTGGTGCAGAATGTCAACACTAGACTGTTGATGGAGGCAGACAGCCAATAGCATGTGATACCTCTGCTGAAACATCTGCACGGGCTGCCCATGTCCTACCGGTCTAGTTTCAATGCCCTGAGCAGCTTGGGTTCAGGATACCTATTGAAACTAATACACATGACTAACTTAGGGCCAACGGTGGGTTTACAGTTGAATTCAGTTGAATACAGACCATTAAGTTCACATTTGATAGGCAATTGTATTTGCTTGCTTTTAATCAAACACCTGCCTTTTAACTATCCCAAAAGCTGGGAAAGCTGCAGCTGAGTGACAGTTCCTGACTAAAATGCATTGGCCGTTACTTCACAGGGGGGCGGGATTTTGAAATGCAAGTATTTGTGCTTTTTGATGAAGACTGCCATGTTGTTAGCCC